AATACAAAGTGTATAAATTATACAATGTACTAGTATTCTGTAATTGCTTAAAAAGAACAGTGCACTTTGGTTTTATGCAACCATAACTGAATCAATGTTTGAATATTATTCCAAATGTCCTGAATTCTTTCCACCACTCAACAAAGTTGTTTGGTTGCCATTTCACGTTTTCAGTTTCCATATAAAGCGTTAATAATACTCGTATCAGAATTTTGTGTAGGCCAAGCCATAGCTGAAAGTGTTCAAACAGCAGCTTTTTAATCCAGGTATCATTTCACCCATTTGTTGCATGCTAGGGAATATTATCTTGTTCAAACATGAATCCCTGCCAAACAGAGTTTATTTTTGAAGGAATAAGTTAATCGTTAAGACTCTGCTTGTACTTTTCAGAAGTCAGGGTGCCAAATGTTTTTTATAGATCTCCAACAGCATTGGCTGATGTGTAAACCACACATGTATTGGTTCCCTAGTATGCTTCACTGCACCTTGACCATGATACCATTTTGCTACCTGCCATTGGACAAATTGTTTCTGATTGTTACCAAACAATTTGAATTTGGGTTAATTTGTAAAGAGTACCTTTTACAACTTTCCTAATCCCATTTGTTGAAGTCTGATGCCCATTTCAACTTCTAGTTGTCACCTCTCCTAAGCACTGGTTTGTGAGCAGGAACTCATCCATTTAAGTCATTTGTGCTCATGTATATCTTACTGTTCTGAAAATAACAATCAAAACCTTGATTATAGATAGGTCATTGCAAAGATCTCAACTGGATTGCTGTGTGTCATATAAAAAGCATACCCCAAGTTATTTAATATCACACTTTGAGTTTGAGCTTTCTACCTTGGCAGCTTTTATAATCAACTGTACTAGTTTCACATACCTTCTTCAGTTTCTATACAGCTAAAGGTTTGATTTCTGTGTGTTTAGCATGTAACACTAGCACATAGCCTGTCAAAAACGACGGGGCAAGTACTACCACCCCCACCCCATATTATACCCAAACCTCACATTTCATAGCTAACCGAAATAAATAAATTTTGCAAAATCAAGCTTGACCAACAAAGAGGTAGAAAAGTGCAGTCGAGGCAGCCAAACTTCAGCAACTTCTTTTGTGAGCCAATCAAAATTAAGATCATTCATGAAATGAATTTGTGGCATATTCATAGAATAATTATTGGTAAAAATCAGTTAGATTAACAACTTGTAATATATAGAAAAGCCAATGAGTTTTGGTAACATCAAATTCCAACAATGGCTTTTATGTCATGTTGCTTAGCAACAAAAGTATAACCTAATATTGTTGTTAGTCTGTGTACTGAAAGTATTAAAATGAAATGTATAGACAACAAAACTAGAAAAATGTTTATTGATTTCTTAATTTAAAGTTCCCGTTGATTAAAGAGGTTTGTTTTTTATTTAAAACGTTGGTGATATAACAGAAAATAGCTTAATTCAGAAACGATTTAAGTGTAAAATTGAATCGATATTTTTACCTTCATGATAAATTTTATGCACTTGGCTCTAAGTTAGGTGATCATCCCACACTATGTCTTTACTTTAGATTTATACTAACACTTACTACGCTTATAAGGTTTCACGGCATCCTCTCACTGTAATGGGCAAACAGTAATTGAACTATTCTATCAGGATAAATGCATTTTGGCTTTATGACTCCCATTTCTGGAACTCAAGCGTGACGTAACACACACTGGCTTTTATATAGGTTAGATATTGGAGAAAGCATAACTTAATAAGCTTTTCACTCTAGCGTCTGATTTTTAGGTTCTATTTCTAATCAGTTTCAAATTTTTATTTAAATTTGTTTTATTTTTCTGTATATAAATACTAGATGCTAGTTCACGGGTCTGTTATACATGTTTAAAATGTCATCTTTTTTATCTTTTTTCGTCTTTGACGCTATTTCTCTTTATTTGTGTAACACTTTTTCTTTTAATTCTTGATTTCTTGAATACTTTGTAGAGTCACCATTTCACATCTTGAGTTTGAATATAAATAACGTCCATCCTTATGTCGATACATTACTCGGGTTTTTGCGTTGTACCGAGTAAAAAAACACTTAACTCGAATAATTCAGCGTCCTCTATTCCACTACGATCTAGCAAGGTAAATGTAGCGATCAGAGATAGGCAGAATAATACGACTGAAATAATCGGGTTAAAAAACACTCGGATGCAGTTAGAAACCACATTTAGATTTCTTTTAATTGGATGATTCAAATATCAGGCGACTAACAATAAGATCCTGGAAGTTGAAACTGAAAGACCGAAGTTAAAGCTACTTTAAGTCTAATAGATGGTATCTTTGAATTAAAACAGGTATATCAAACAAGATTGCCTTCACCATATGAAATAAACAATACCTAATTGCTACAATAACATTATATATATTTAACATATATACACCTGGAAAAAAGTTAAGCACCCCCGTGTTTTTTTTAAGTGATTCAGATTCGACGTTCTTGT